GATCCCAGGACTCTGGGATCATGACCTGAGCCGAAGGCAGACGCTTAACGACTGAGCCACCCAGGCGCCTCCATCCCCCTTAACTCTTATACCTGACTCCCAGTAAACTTCTGGTGGCCAAAATGACAATCTTTTTGCATACCAGGTTTAATCCACAGTGGATTGGGACAATTTCTCAATATCTAAACTTTATAACCTGAAAAAATGATTTATTCATTCACTCTCTTTACTCTTCATATTGAGGAACATATGGCAGAAATGAAAACTTTTGATGAAGCTAATTCTTGTCAGTTCTAACACATAGCTGGTTAACACATTTCATCAGGCGTTCCTTTGTCCCCCCCTCACAGCCCCGCCCTCGCTCCCCGCCCCGCGTCTGAAGTCGTTTGTGAGAGGAAGCTAACCCCCTGTCTGGGCACCAGCCGTTGGTCCCAGGGAAGTAACTCTGTGATCATAGAGCTGGCGAATGCCCGGATAGACGGGACCGGAAGTTGTTTTTTTCGCCCCCCGCCCAGGGGCCGGATAGGGTCTCCACTGGCTCTATTTCCGCCTGCTGTCAGACTTGTTGGGCCTGAGGTCTTGGTGGCCCTGTGTTGGGCTCGACCCGGTACCGGGCTCACACTTGTACCAGCCTTGGGGAAGCGGAGTGAATTCCTCGGTCTCCTAGCAACCAGGAACTGGCTGTGGACTGAAGGAGTCGCGGTGCCGCCGTCCAAATCGCTCAGGCGCTAGCCGGAATCTTTGAGCCCTGCCCAAACGGGAGCCGAAACCCGGCGTTTGGAAGACTAAGCAGGAAATGGCGGACGAGGCGTTGTTTTTGCTTCTCCATAACGAGATGGTGTCTGGAGTGTACAAGTCCGCGGAGCAGGGGGAGGTGGTGAGTGCTGCCAAAAGCCCTTGAGGTCATTTTGCGGTGACACTCTTTGTTTCCTCTCAGTTCTTTCCTTCAACCCTTGTCCTATGGCCACCGAAGGCCTTCCGAAGAGTAGACAAACTGGTCCACGTCCACGTATCCTAAGCCTAGAACCTGTCATGACAGTCTCTTCAGTCTTCTTTCATCCTTTTCTCTTTCGCATTTTCTGTTTGATCTTTTTTTTTTTATGTCCATTCCCATATTTGATTCTGCAGGTCACAGATTTTACTTTTAGCGTTGTCGCTACCGTAATTTATGGCAGGGTTAACCGCACAGCTGGTTTTGGCACCCCTACGTAATTCTGTCACTTCAGCACCCCGGAGCCATCCACTGGACAGACTTGAGAAACTCCCCCCACCTCCTATCTATAACCATCAGTATTACTGCACGCACCTCGAAGACAGAAGGCTAATGCGATTTGAGATTAAAGGGAAGTTTGCAGGCGTTACTATAATTAGGAAACACATTTAATTCAAAAAATAGTTATTATTTAGTGCCCATTATATGTCAGAGGTAGTTCTTCGTGCTGGGGGTATAGTAATGAAACAATGACTCCATTCTCCAGGGAGTTCCTTCTAATTTGTGGGAATCTTCATTCATTCATTGATTCATTCAGAAAATATTTATTAAGTGTGTATTGTGAGCCTGACACTGATCAACCCCCCACCTAACAGTCATTGCGGAACAGGGGTTCAATGAATAATTAACGTATTGGGTAGTAATTAGGTATAAAATCATGGAGTTCTAATGAATACTATAAATGAGATACTCCAAAGTCATGCTCAAGTCAGAAGCCCTTTCTATAATGCTGTTGATAAAGAGGGGTGGAAAGGGGGGGTAGGGAAAGCATCTTAGGAAAAAGTAAAGGCATAGGGGTATGAAAGAGTGTAGTGCATTTAAATATGCTTAAGCATTTCACTGTGACTAGATTGACTGGGTCGAGAGTGAGAAATGTTGAGAACTGAAGCTGGAAAGAGCCCTGTATGCTGTATGATTAAAGAATTTGACATTCGCAGTGGAGATTTTTATTTTTAAAGATTTTATTTATATGTTTGACAGAAAGAGATATAGTGAGAGAGGGAACACAAGCAGGGGGAGTGGG